TTTTAGAGATGCAATGAAATGCGAAGTTAACACTAAAGGACATAAGTGTCGTAGGGGTAAAATTTTTGAGGAAGACAAAATTAAAATACACAGTCACAATAGTTCTCTAACATAAGAAACAATTTCTTATATCTGGAAAAGATAAATTACTTTTATCTCATTCTTGTTTTTAGCTTAGTTGAATATAAATGAATAATGATTCATGAAAATTTTGTTTATTTGTCAGAAATATCGAAGGGCGACTTTTAGAGATTTCGAATTATTGAGAAAATATATACCCATCGTCCCCCTCCAACCAACGATGCCCTCGATAAGGGGTCCAAACTTTTGATTCCTCTCCAGCATAAACTATTGGAACAGCACATTCCAGATTGCGGCTATATCCCATTCATATTTTAAGGGTCAAGATTCCAAACTCTCGAGAAAAAGGCTTTTTTTTTTTTTTGAGTAAGTACGTTTTTATGCCTGATTTCGTACCTTAAAATATAATCTGCTCTAATTAATTAGCATTATTTATTAGACACTTGAACCATTATGAATGAGTTCCAGAGAGCTTAAGATCCAATCATTAGATCAAAAGTTATTAAGTGTTTCACTTTATTTTGCACACTGTACACTTTACCAATTTTGATTAATTTGAAAAAAAAAAGAAGAACATTAGATATTCTGCAAATATGCATACGTATACAAATGCTATCAAAAAGCTTTGTAAAAAAATTTAATTAAAATCAAACACAATATTGAGAGCATGGGTGAAACCAACATTGGTAATTCAAAAAGCATGCGTTATCCCTTTTATTATGTGCCGCAGTGGACTGACTGATCGTAAAGACACGGTTCCCAGTAGAACACCGAAATCAAGCTTCACTGGCTGCGGTTAGTTAGGCGGTGGATGACAACTTTGATCAGTCTGCAAAGGGACCGAGATTGGGCGGTATCGGGTTTTCGACCGTGAAGTGCTAGACTTCGCGAGCAGGTCGTCGGGCTACTAAAACAGGAGAGCTATCACTTCTACAGAAGAACAAAATTGTGATGGCATGTCTTCGGATCATTCTTAGGGATCCAGATTGTCGCTAATCGTCTTAATCGAATATCTTCAAATAATTAAAAGCTTACTAAACAATTTAAAACTTTAGTAGCATTTTTATTTTAGTATGAAGAAAAATAAAATGTATTACTTATTGATAGTTATAATTGATTTACAGCAAACTTTACCTTGATTGCTAAGTGAGTATTTACCACACATTCTATTACAACCTTCTATAGAACTAATTAGTCCTGCAGTGGACTGATCGTTAAGACACGGTTCCCAGCAGATCACCGAAGTCAAGCATCACTGGTTGCGCTCAGTATGCGGGTGGGTGACCACTAGGATCAGCCTGCGTAGGGACCGAAGGTGTGCGGTATTGGTCCTCCTTAAACTGTTCTACCGTAAAGTGCTCGACATCGTGTGCAGGTCGTCGGGCTACCGAAGCGGGGTGCCATCCCCTCTGCCGAGGATCAAAATTGCGATGGCATGTCCTCGGATCATCCTCAGGGATGTTTCCCGGACCGTCGCCAATAGCCCATTGTGCAGCTCTAGTGCGACGTAAATGAACAAAAACAACAATAGAACTGATTAGAATAAGTAAGCGGAAGTGCAATTTGGTTACTATGGGAATTGTTACGGCTAAGATCTATCCAGTTTTATCACTGGTTTTTAAAAGACTCCTGGCTATATACAAAAGAAAAAAAAAGAATTAAAAAAAGAGGGTTTAGTTCCGCTCTTAGCTTATTTGTGCAAAAAATGTGAATCGTGATAGTGCATTTATTCTACAAGCCAGAAGACTCAAACTTTACGATTTTGGGGCCTTAATGAAAAAAATTCTTTAATACCACTTAAAAAAATTTTCTGGACGTTGCTTGTTAAGAATGTTATCATTCATAATACATTCATAACTGTTGTAACTCATACATACAATGATTTTTATCTTCCTAACATAACTAAATTACTTTTTGTAAATGTATTTTCATAAGAAACGAATAAATTTTTGTTTATTGTTGTTGTTAATATACGTCGCACTAGAACTGCACAATGGGCTATTGGCGACGGTCTGGGAAACATCCCGGAGGATGATCCGAAGACATGCCATCATAATTCTGATCCTCTGCGGAGGGGATGGCAACCCCGCTTCGGTAGCCCGACGACCTGCGCGCGAAGTCGAGCACTTTACGGTAGCACAGCTTAACGAGGACCAATACCGCACACCCTCGGTCCCTACGCAGACTGATCCAAGTGGTCACCCACCCGCACACTGACTGCAGCCAGTGATGCTTGACTTCGGTGATCTGCTGGGAACCGTGTCTTAACGATCAGTCCACTGCGGGACAAATTTTTGTTTAAACTTGAGCAATAAAAAGAATGGGAATCACTCCAGCTAAAACAATTCGCCGATCCTGCACTGGTAACTTTATTGCAGCAAGTAGCTAAAGAGCTGGGTAGACACGCGTGTACATTCATCTTTATCAACAAAAGGGAATGTCCCCAAATCGGCAGTGCATGCCGCCAGAAAACAAGTAATTGCGAAGTCGCCAACGGCGTCAAAGCATTTACGTACGACCTTTTGATGGTAATCGGCATGAAATCAACGCATGACCTACAGCTGACAGCCGGAAATACAAGCACGTTAAGCAAATTGATAGTCAAAATACAGAGAGGTACAGAGGCCAAAATACCAGCAAAAATCTGAGGGCTGTCTTTTTAAAAAAGGTTATCACCTCTAATGTAGTAGATAAAGTTTTTTTTATTTTTATATTGAATTTTTATCTTAAGATTTTGTCCATATCCAAGAGGTCGTGAGTTCGACCCTTGCCGGCCGAAGACATGTAGTAAATGGTGACTGATGCACGTTAAACCTGTCAGGTCACAAAGTCCTCCATGTTCCTATAACAAATCATACTTCCAGGTACTGAATCCGAGATTGATAATTTTTTGGTTCAAATCAAAATTAAGATCTGTGGATGAATTAATGGGTCCCCCTATAAATGGGCTGTGATGTATGTGTGCGACAGAAGTTTAATTCTTGGCCGTAGATGGCGTAACTGGAAAACAAGAAGTGCACCCCTTGCCTTAATGGCATAAGACAACAACAAAAAATCTAAGATGTTGTTGTTGTCTTAATGGCATACGACATCATAGGATTTTTTTTGTTTTTAACAAAAACCCCTCTGAACACAAATTGCTTCCTTTCTTACATAGTAAAAACTCACATTCTTTAACCTTCAATTAAGAATGAAAACTTAATCAATGCTTACCTGAAGCTACCTTGCTTAATATGTTTTTTCTGTTACTAACTGCTTTCATAGTCAAAATAGTTTAGTAATTTACCAATGAAGCAATAAAAAGATTTTGTTACTTACGCAACTTACAGTTCATGATCTTAAATTTCATAGGTTCTTTCACAGTGTTTGCTTTCAAAGTACATAAATAATCAATAAACTTTGTCATAGAGATACATGTTGAGAATGAGATTGTTTCTGGATCACATTCAAAATTTGTATAGTTGTCTATAGTCACATCAGGAATGAACTTGTAAGACATTTTTAAATGGGCATCCTTTCAGAGAGCACATTTTAAATAGTAAGTAATAAAGTCAGTTAAGTAGTAAAGTAAAACTTAGTAAACAGTAAGGAAGTGCAGTAAAACTTAGCTAAAAAAGTAAAACTGCCCCAAATTCAGTCATAGTAGTTTGGCCATTCTGGCCCTTTACCCATTCATCATGTAATCAAGATACTTGTGGTCTTTGAAATCAAGAAATAAAAAAAAAGTTAATAAGTGGGCATATTATCCAATAAAAATCATCAGGGATGACTCAATATTGTACATGAAAATAAATAAGAATAGGGAAATTAATGAAGGTCTTCATAGGTAGATTTAAAACTTTATCAAATCCCAGCAAAAACAAATCAGCAGGCAAAACAGTGGAAAAGTTCTTGTAGCCAGCAGCTAAAGTGCTAGGCAGGTACACTGATGCAGTCACTTCTAACTGTACTAAAGTGAATGGCTGGCCTTCTGCTGACACAACAGTGCAGGCCAGTGGACGGCCAGCTGTATAGGAGCCAGCAACTGGAAAGTAGTCATCACAAGCCCACCACTTTTTGACGGTGACCAGTACCTGTTCAAAGCTTAACCTATGCTTGAAGGCCAGCAATCCGATTTCACCCACCATTCCGTAATCTGGATACAGAGGTCATTGACCAGTCTATATTTAGATGAGGGGGGATCAGAAATTTTTTTAGATTCCATTTTTATCCTAGGACCTTAATAATAAAAAAATTTATGAACTGAATCTAGAGTTATGAGTACTTGTTTTTACAATTTATTTCAAGCACATGCTCTCAGTCATTTTATTAAGATAGAAATCGTAAGAAATGCTGAATTGAAGCAGCCTTACCTAATTAGCCTCGCTGCCCTACATATTCAAATTTTTTAAGTAGTCAAAATATGTGATTGCTCAATATTAATACTTTGTTACCTCAGCATTAATTTATGATTAATATATTCCTCATTAAAAATGCTATCTTAAGATTATTCTAATATACATAAAAAAAAGTATTTCAAATTCTACCAGGAATGCTATACAACAAACTACACAAGTTTATCAAATGCAAATATAAAATTGATAACCTATAAATAAGACATAAAGTAACTGACATACAAAACAAATCTAAACTCTGCAAATTGTTCTCAGTATACATACGTACAAAAATGAAATTTAAAAGTTTTAATCTACACGACTAATTGATCTAATTTTACAACCTATAAATAAGACATAAAGTAACTGACATACAAAACAAATCTAAACTCTGCAAATTGTTCTCAGTATACATGCGTACAAAAATGAAATTTAAAAATTTTAATCTACATGACTAATTGATCTAATTTTACAACATATATAAAACACAATATATTCAGCTGAAATGTAAATTTTCATTTGAAAAAAGTAGTCAAAATACTTGTTAAGGTACATAATTTTATTCATCAACACAACTAATCATATACACAACTACTATAATTACACAAAATTACAGCAGTAACAAAAATATCTATTTTACAACATTTTTTCTTTTATTCCTTCCTCCATTTCTATCAGCAGCAGTCCTCAGCCAGCTCTTCACAAAAAGTTCAACATCAGCTTGTTTTGCAATTTTCGTTGCTGGGTTCTGCCAGACTGCCACTATAATAAACATTTGATTAGTTCAGTATGAGCAAAATCATAATTCTATTTTTAACAAGACAGTTATAATAAAAGTTTATGCTGAAAGAAAGAAGAATTACTTCACTTTAATACTCTAAACAAATGAGTTATTAAATTATGAGATATATAAATATACTAATAGAGATTTACTAACAGACTTCTTGAAGTGAATTCAATTTTTTTTAAATTAATGGCAGGTAATATGCCTTCACAGGCCTTGAATCAATCCCATACAATCATTGTTCTGAATAATCAGGGTGGTCACTCAAATCAGGTTTCGGATTTTTCCAGGTAAAAATCTTAAAATTTCCAGGTCAGCATGATTTTTTCTTATGAAGTGTATGATACGTACCAGAAAAGTGCCAATATTATAAAGTATATTATTTAAAATGTTATTCTAACAATTTGGCGAAATTTATTTTTTAATGTTTTAGTACAACATAAATTTTTAAAAAATTAAGACATATATATAAAATAATATGCTTAGATAAACGAACTATGTGTTGACGAACTACCTTACCTTAATATTGTCAATATTAAGGTAAGATATCGGGCTATGTGTTGAAACAGAATATTGACTTCGAATTTCCTCATTTTAAAGCTAATAAACACACTATTATATATATATGTTTTTATAGAATAAATTTTTTTCTCTTAATATCTTACTTAAAGCGGTTTTTTCTCAAAGTGTACTAAATGGCAAATACAGAATGGGCACAAAAGCCTTGCTCAAGTATTATTTAATACATTTTCATTAATCAAAATAAAACTATTCAAGGTAATTTTATATCAATAAATTTTTATATATATGGTGGCTTCCAAAAGTGTTCGTAAACTTATGACTTGTATTGAAATAGGGCCACTATTAATTAAAATGAATATTTCAGAATGAGTATTTAATAATAAGATGTATAATCTATTCAAAGTAAAATTGCATGGAATGTTTTAAAAACGAACTAAAAGTTTATTTTTAAGAAATCAATAATAAAAAAGTAACAAAAATTTTACCTCAAACATTTAAATGTTTTGGATTTTAGAATTAAAAATGTCTATTGCTTTAAATTTTTTTATTTAGTTATTTTTCATTTCTTCATTTGCAATTTAATATCAAACTTAATAGCAAAATTATATTTTAATTTTTACTTGCGAACTCTGTAATATTTTCTTGTCATTTGAAAACGGCTTATAGTCGTAATAAAACAATAAACATTTAAAGTTGATTATTTGTCAACATAAGAGTTACATCATTAATGAATATTGCTAAATTAAATTAGATGTCTACAAAATAATATATTTAATTTCTTTATTTCATCGATGAAAATTACTAACTAGAGAACAATAAAATTGAATCTCTCTTTAAAGTTATCTTTTTGGCCAAGTTTTTTGAAGCAATTAAAAAAAAAAACTTTGTGTCCTGCTTCTATCAGGTATGGAACAGATTTTATTACATTTTGTGAACTTTGTTTCTTGTATGAGATACTGTTTTCATCGATTGTAAAGGGGGAAGTTCTTTCTAGGTTAGAATGTCTATCAGGCTTTGCTTGCATATTCTTTTCGTTGAGATTCATTTTGGGCATTGCATTTTAATTTTTTTTATCTTTATTTGCATCCTTATGAAATGTAATCATTTCACGAATGATGACGTTTTAATTTTTTCTTGAGAGTACAATAATTCTTAACATTCTTTTTTCATGTTGCTTATGCTGATTGTTTTAGTAACAGAGAAACCTCTTTTCCACTGACGCATGAAAAAATGCACAGGAATCAGCCAGTGAATTTGTAAAATCTGTAATGTTTTCATAATTTCATCACTGTGTAGGAAAAAATAGAATTTATATGTCGAATTTGGTAATATAAGATGATATATGGGATATTTTTTTCAAATTGTTAACCCCTAACTTCAGCGTTTGAGTTAATTCGGGCGTGCTAAACAGGTCAAACTCTGCAAACTCGAGATAATTCGAACAGCGTAGTACTATATGCTGCCATAATTTGTCACACTAAAATTTAATCGAGAATTGAAAATAACCATGTGAAAGCTAAAAAAAAATCTTTTTACTGATATTTATCATTTACATAGGATTGAAAGCTTCAAAACTTATTTATTCTAGAATAAAATATAGAATAAAATATACCCACACAGACTATAACTACGCTAAGCAACCCATTCAAATCTTCAGGTACTGTCGGTTGGACTGGTTTAAATTAAGAATTGGGCTGACTGACATTACCAAAAACACTAATCCAATTAATATCACCAGTGAGGATGAACTTGACAAATTCATAGAACAAAGCACCATTGATATACAAACAGTCTGCAGTAATAGTGAAAGGAAACATAAACCGAGAACAGGTGTGAAGAACTTTTGGTGGACTACACAGCTTAATATAATGAGGAAAAAAGTAAGGGCAGCAAGAAGACACTATCAAGGTCCGCAGGAAGAGGAAATTAGAAACCACTCAAATATCAAATATAAACAAACATCTGCAACATACAAACGACTAATCCAAATTGAAAAAAGAGAGGCTATCGAAAATTACATAATCAAACTCACAGATAATTTTACATTCGGCAAACCATACAAAATTGCCAGAAACATAGATGACAGAAAGACACCAGGTGTTCTTACTAAGCTGCAAAATGGCGATGTCTCGACAAACTTTAAGAAATCGATAATAAACATATTAAGTTATCACTTTCCATTCACGCCTATTCAAGATATAGAAGTAAAGCAGAAAAACAGCACTACCGAAGAATTTATAGAGGCCGAGATAGAGAGCGACATCAAGACACAGAAGAGAGGGAAAGCCCCAGGATGTGATGGAATAACAGCAGAGGTCATCCATGACTTATTCTATGCTGATAAAAAATGGTTTACTACTCTTATAAATAAATGCTTAACCTTAGGCCACTTCCCAACATCATGGAAGAAAGTTAAAATCTGCCTCATACAAAAGAAAAATAGAGATCCTGCCCATCCCCAAAACCACCGACCAATATCATTACTACCGGTCTGGGGCAAAATACTGGACAAACTGATCACGCAAAGACTAGTATTTTATTTGGAAAGCAACAAACTACTGGACAATCAACAATTTGGATTCAGAAAGGGACGAGGAACAGAAGATGCCCTGAAAGAAGTGGTCAATTATATCAACATAGCTAAACTTGAGGGTAAACATACGGAAAAACGCCAGGGGCATTAAAAACGCCTTCAATAACGCAAATTGTTATATACTCAAAACTGAGCTTAATACTTAATAAACTTGACCCGGGTGACCAGATCTTAAAACTAGATTTTAGCTTTTTAAACAACGATTCATCATCTTTAACTTTAATGATACTGCTCTTGATATGCCGACAAACATGGGGGTACTGCAGGGCTCCTCACTGGGTCCGATACTTTGGCTAATTTTAATCAACACTATTTTTAGCATTCCTATTGAACCACATTTTAAACTGCTGGCGTTCGCTGATCATGTTTTTCTTCTTATGAAGAACTCAATACTATACAAAATCAACAAACTAGGCACCGAAATGGTCGAATTACTGACGACATTGGCCGAAAACCACAAATTTTGAATTCGAACCTGACAAAACAAAAACAATTACTTTTCCAAAAAACAAAAAATTTATTAAAATTTATTTATCAAATGCGTAACACTACAACAGCTTACATAAAGAACGAGTGCAATTTGAAATACTTAGGCATAACCCTAGACCCCAGGTTAAGCTGGATCCCACACCTTGAAGACGTTAAGAAGAAAGTAAATACAATCTACCATAAACTTAGTCATTGCTCAAGAGCAACACGGGGCCTAAAACCAACAATATTGCAAACAATCTACTTACAGGCAGTGGAGAAAATTATAATGCATGACTCAGTAGTCTGGTATAAACCAACAGTAAAAATAAATAATCGTCTGTCATCCATACAACGACTATGCTTAATAAATATCACAAAATGCTGCTGTACTGTAAGCACAGAGGCACTACAAATTCTCGCCCGCACCTTACCAATAGATATTAAGATAAGAAAGGATAACTTTGTAAGGACACTTAAATGGCCTAATACAATAGTAGCAGTACCACCCTGGATCCAGACTTTGATAGCCCAACCATAAAATTGTACGACCCGAATACAATACCATACACAAATCCAGTTGAATTCAGGGCAATAGAATGGGGATTCAGCCCACCGACGGGTCTGGGTTATGAAATATACACCGATGGCAGTAAGAGAGAAATACTCAATAATAACACGGGTAACAAAAAAAAAAAAAAAAAAAAANAAAAAAAAAAAAAAAAAAAAAAAAAAAAAAAAAAAGAGTGGGGTGTGGATATGTTGTCAAGTTAAATGGTTCGACTGTCTATAAAAATTGTACTAGACTTAACAACGAGTCAAGTATTTACCCAGCCGAGCTGCAGGCCATTAAACTAGCTATCAATTGGCTAAATGAAAACAACATCTATTTGGCAACAATTTAAACGGATTCTCGCTCCTCGTTGAACTCACTCGAAAACCCCGTGCCCTCAAATAAACAAGTTGAAGAGATCTAGCATAATATAGGTAAAGGACACATGTTAAATTGAATTAGGGCACACATGGGGAATGAGGGCAACAAGGAGGCAGATACTTTAGCTAAAATGGGCACGGAGTTCGATCGGGTGGATATGAACTACCACATTACTAGAGCCGAATTAAGAAAACTTCTCAGAGCAACAGCAAAAAACTTTGGTAACAGAAGTGGGATACGTCGAATAATGGTCGACATACTTACAGCTTTTCCCACAAGTAAGTACTAAAAGACTTATAAGTGATTTCTATCTCAATCAGTTTTACACAGGGCACAGAGTGTTTGGTGGTGTACATCAAGCTAGACTATTTAAAAAGACATCAAGCTGCAAATATTGCGGCAAATGCCAAACCATCAAACATTTACTAACGGAATGCAATAAATTTACAACACTCCGTGGCACCGCTTTTAAAAACCAGGGAGACTTGATGTCATGGTGCAGAACAGAGAGACAAAAGCAAACCATGAGAAATATCATTAACTACTGTGTCGAAACATAATATCCCCAAACGACCTCATGGACCCCTTGTTTACCATCCCATAAGTATTTTAACTCATCAGATTAAATATTGGACTTACACCTCTCTGTTGCTTAGACTATTCTATTCCTATTTTTAACCTTTTTAATGATTTTGGGTACTGATGCTTTTATTTTTGGTGCTTTTGCTTTTTTTATTTATTGGATCCTGAATTGCCCTGGATATTTTGATATTAATTGTTGCTTTGTATACCTATTTTTATATTTGATTAATTTTTAAATTGATTTTGTTGTAATTTGGCTATCAATTATACATTTTCTAATTGCTTTTAACCATCAAACCGTCCTCTTTCGAAGAGTTCTTCTTTTCATGCCTTGGACTTCAGCTGTCTTTCTTGTAACGAAATCATCTATACTCTAATGTCATAGTTATTTTTTATTTATTTATTTTTTGTAGCTGTATTTATTGTATTTTATTGCAGTTGTCACATTGTATTTTATTGCATTGTAACAGTCGAGTGCCCATATCCTTGGGCGGGACGACTAACCAAATTATATATTACTGCTTAGCAAGTTAAGAAAAGGAAAGTAAAATACAGTATACTCTGTATAGCTCAAACTGAAAGGGATTCTATAAAAATCTAGTTTTCAAGATAATAAGTTCAGAACTAAACCTAAATAAGTTAAACTAAACCTAAATAAACCAGACCCCTTATACTGTACATAATTTAAGTAATCACAGGCAACTTTACATGCAGTAGTCTCGATTGTAAGAGTTTTGCACAAATCAGAACTAATGATAAAAAAAACAAAAAAACAGTTCCGTAATTAAAAAATATACAACATGTTAAAGAAATGCAGTGTGTTTGTAAAGTGATGGTGATCTTTTGACTGGTAATCGACCGAAAGGGCATGCCTTTACGGACATACTATATAAGATCTGATGTGCAAAACTATCAATATCATGGGTTCACATCTAAAAAATGAACTAAATTTTGATGAAAGTTATGTATCTTTTTTTTTACAACAATGATGCAACAAATTTAAGTTTCACAATTCTTAAAACATATCAGAGATATTAAATACAATCCAAGGTATTATATACAATACACGATTTTGAATTATTTAAAAAAAAAAGGGTTTTTAGTTTAACATGACTAGAACTTATGTGAATTTTTTTTTGTCTTGACAAATAATTCAGAAGTTTTTTTATTCACATTATTTCAGCATAAAAGAGTGATGCAATGAATGGCATTTATCTTTTTATTTTAATACCTTACACAGATAATTCACAAATAAAAAGCAAAGACAAATTACTTGTTAATTTAATTTGTTATTAATAATTATATTTAGTTTATATCTTTCTGGATAAAGAACAACAGGGTTTAGCTAACCTTTAAAAAATTATTTGACATACATGTTTGCAGTAAACAAGTTGTTGATACCCCAAGAATCACACACAATATTCCAAATAAGACTAGTATTTCAAACTCAATCTTTACTCAGCTTTTAATAAACCTTTATTTATGTGAAACAAATTTACCCTTATTCATTTTTAAAAATTAAAAGAGCTGAATCACCTGAACTCTAAGCAAAGAATATTAATGCAAAACACAATTCTTTGAGAAAACAGAAATCTCACCATTTTGGATAACTTCTCATTAGACTCGAGCTCAACCTCCAGCAATTGCATTTCTCCAGCCTCAATAAGTTGGAAGTCCTCTGTCTTTTCAGTGTCTGGACGTTGAACATGCAGCCTCCATAAGCTGGAAGTCCTCTGTCTTTTCATTGTCTGGACGTTGAACATGCAGCGCTTGGGAAAAACAGTCAGTATCTTGGCGCAACATTGCTACCTCCTCCATAAGCTTACGCATATTTGAGATCATTGCACTATAAGAACCTGATAAAATGAAATAGAATTTTAAATAAAGATTCGACTGAACATTATCAGCTACTGATTTACCTTCTTTAGAAATTTTAGATTATACAAAGATTTTAAAGTATAAATGATGTAGGACATTTTTTTGTTGACAATAAATCATAAAACAGGAATATTATTTTTTGGTGGATGGTGTTCTATTAAAAAAAAAACCTAAAATTTAAGTCAAAGTAAAATGTAAGTCAGTAAAATTTAAAATACCTTCATTTTTTAGCACAACTTGTGCACTGAACACTTATTGAAAGCAAACTACACTCGCCTCTTTCATTGTGAGAGGACTTTCATTAGTCCTCTCAGCAGAGAAAGATGGCATATCAGCCTGACGTTAACTATTTTTGGAGCTGGTGGAGTAGAGGAGAGGATGTAGGAGGCTTGGGGACTGGAGGCAGGGATGATTGCGGGACGCAATTCTTCTTCAGAAAACACTTCTATATTGCATCTTACCAGATATTCTTTCAAAACTGCATCAGCAGCCTTATAGGTTTCTATAAAAATTATAAATTTCGTCAATGCTATGAAACTTTAAACGAAAATTCATAAGTTTGCTATTGAATTACAGTAAATGCCTAATAAAAATCAGCCAAATTTTAATATAATTAATTTAAAAATGAAAAGCATTTATTAATTTTCTTATTTTCAATTTTTTTTTTTAAATGTACTGTTTCAATTACTAAAACTTATATAAGATTTTTCAAAATGAAATGAATTTAAAATGGAAATTTGAAAATGATTTTTCTCAAAGTTATACGGATATAAAAAGTAGTTATTGATCACAGATTTGTCAACAAAAAAAAATTTGTTAATTAATATTACTCTTGAACAATTTTCAAACATACATACATAGTAAATAGAAAGTAAATTTGGTTCAAATATTAAATTTAAAAATCTGCATACACTTTTATTTTGTCTATATAGAATCAATATAACTATTTCATTTGGTTATTACAAACTATATTTTGTTTACCCAAATAAAATTTTTAGTCACTCAGAATAATATCGTATTTAATAGCTATCATTATGTATATTACAAGCATTATCATGTTTTTTAAAACTTTTTGAAAATGATTAAGATATTATCGATATGTATCATCGATAGTCTGTGTACACCAGAATCCTTTCCTATACATTGGCGAATTAGGTTTTATTGCTGCTATGAAAATTAAAAAAGCTGAAAATATCTAGGAAAAGAGCTGATTTCAGTATTTGAATATGGTCAAATAGAAAAGACTTGTTTACTCTTTGTTACCATCATATATTCTACTTACTTTATACCTCTGATTAAAAAAAAAATAGCTTAATTTTTGCGGTTGTGCTAAATTATTTGTTATCTAATTTTTGAAAATAATTGGATAATTCACTTGAAAATTAAAAGAGAAATCTTTCTTATTGTGGCAATATTTTGTATTATTGATTCCATTATCTGAGAGAAAAAATTATTTTAATGCAACTACAACTACTACTGCGAATACTAATTTCAGAATATCAAAGAAAAATACTAATTTATAATACACCACTTTAGTTTCATTACGCATTTATTTGAAATAAACCAACACACACAAAAGTATAAAATTCGAAATCCGAAATATATACGTGCTTATCACGAGATACTTTGGAAAATTTTCATATCACGACAAAAATTGCTGCATTCTCGACAGCTTCTGGACAAGCGCCAGCGAGACAATAGAAAGAAAGAAAAAAAAATCACACAAGGTGACGAACTTGAAGGGTATAACTCGTAGCTAACACATTCTTCCAAGCAAACCTCTTCATATATATTTTTTTAAAAATTTGACAAGTTTACATTTCATTTGGCACTTCAATGTTTGTGATTGGCATAACAGATCACAATACAGATATATCTTTATAGTGCTAACATCTGAGAAAGAATTCAATCCATACATTGATATTAAGATCATTAAATTTTATACAAATAATTAAGATCATTAAATATGCAATACATCTATAAACAAAAGCAGAGAATATCAGTGCTTCATGAATTCCAACTAAAATATTAAAGTATTCAGTTAAGATGTACAGAAAAATCATTAATGAACAAAACTTATTTTGTTTATAACTAAATGAAGATACATTCCCACAAAAAAGGAAAATAATATTCTAATATAAGAAATATTTTATAGACTTTTGCAATTTTAAAATAGGGTTGCAATTGCATTCCCTTAATTCAACTTTGAATTCTGAGTTTAAGCAATTTACTTTTGATCGCAAAACATCGGGAATAATTTATTTAAAATATGTGTTTAAACTATACAATTATTATCATTAATATATATTTAACAATATTCGAAAGCTATTTCTGAAGAAGGAGTAATGATATTTTCAGTTTGGAATTTCTTTTATGACAAAATGTATCGATCTTAAAAACAAGCAATAAAAATAATTGAAAAAACATATTTACCCATTAGTGTTTTCCATTTTTTAAAGATAAAATTCAAAATTGAAAAATTTAGAATTCTTTTATTTAACAAAGCTAATTTAAAACGCTCACTGCTCGCAAGATATAAACAAGAAAAGTAAGGATGTCGATCTATTAGAGTTGAGTAATGTTTAACATTCAACGCTTATTCAAAGATTTATTTGCCAATATGATGTTATCAGTTCAACTTTATATTCAATGCAAATATTGACATATATTATATACAATGCTTCATCAAAATTGCCAATAATAAGTTTACACTAGATACACATTATAGCCTTTAAATGGTGTTTGCAGTGTGTTTATATAGGCTTGTTGAATGAGATAGAACCAATGAGAAGTGAGAACATTAGTGTCGACTAACAAGAAGTGAAACACTGTGTCAACTAACAAGAAGTAAAACACTAAGTTTCAGTTTCTGTATTTTTGCGTTTCAATTTCAGTTCAAGATTCAACAATTTGAATTTAGTTTATTACAAGATCATAGATTCAAATTTTGAAATATCAATTTCAGGTACTTCAAACTTTGAAAACAACCAAGTACTAAAAACTACATCTACTACCCAATCAAACATCAAACTACTAAACAAATATCTGAAACCCATATTTAAATCTGAAATTCAATATTTGATATTTTTTCTCTTTTCCCTTCTAGTTCAAGATTCTAGAATTTGTATTAAGTTTCAGTTACAAGAGCAGAGATTCAACTTTGAAAACTCCAAGTACTAGAGACTATTCAAATTTCTAAAACCTGAAATTTAAATGCATTGCATCATGCCATTGTTCATTTCATTGTATCATCTAGATTTTCATTAGTCAGCACTAGTTATATACATTAGTGAAATTCAATTATTTTTATAATTAATTTCAGATTTAGATTGAGTTTCAAGTTCTGGGTTTCAAACATTTGTTTCATTATAATCAGTACTTGAAGTTTTGAATTCTTTAAACTTGGAGGTTTTCAAAAGTTTGGATTTCTGATCTTGTAACAAAAGCTAAATTTAAATTAAAAAATCTTTCTTTTTCTAATAAAAAATTTAATTTTATATTTAAATAGTTTTCAATTTTGAGTTTAAAATATTTGATTCACTACAATGACAAAAATTTGGAGTTGATAAGACTTGGAGTTAGAAACAATCATCATTTTAAACCATCTGCACTGAAACTCAAAACTTGTAAAACTGGGAGGTTGGGAAAAAGCATAATGAGAAAAAATCAGACTGATTAGACAAAATATTTTCAACAATATGACCCTTATGCAATTGTGCAGATCAGAAAGATGAGATTGCATTGGAAGTAGATATTTGAGGATATGATAATATATCAAACTGATTTTCATTTGCTCAGAAGGGAGAAGAGTATTGATGGGTTGAATTTTTAATTGCTGCTTTGTATTTCTATGTAAAATTTTCTATGAAAAATTAATTATTAAATTTTGGTTTTAGAATAGAATTTAGTTTGAAGTTTTTTTCTTTTTATATGGAATGAATGCAGGGTATCTGCGACATTTTAGATTTTCAAATTCATAACTTTTCATGATTTTCCATGACTAATTCCAAGAATTTTTCATGACTTAACGAAGTTACTATTGTCTCCCACAAAAACGCAACAATAAATTAAAAAAAGCATTATAATAATGTTAATTAAAATGATAGGTATACCCAAAACTGTTATACTCTGCATCTTCATATTTATAGATTTTAAATTTAAAAAACAGAGTAAAGAAAGAGTTGAAACAATAAAATAGCTGAAAAAATACAAAAGCAAATAATTTTTTCCTTTTTTTTTTCTGCCGAATTATATTCTAAAGATATTTTTCTTGTTCATCAGAAAGGAAAGAAATACTCCTGATTTTTCTGTTCTCATTTCGGAATTTAAACAATTAGCCAATGGCTGGTTTGGTTCAACTAGAATTTTAAATTGATAAAATTAAAAAAAAAAAATAAATAAATTTTTAAATGTCAGAAGTTTAAAAGATAATTCGATATAGAAATTATGTTTTTTCTTTCATTTTTTGAAAGAAAACCATAATTTTTAAAAAACATGATAAAATCATTTTATATTCTAATAAAATATGACTGAGTGATGATTTTGTTAGGAATTCAGATATTTGGAACAGGATTAAATTGGGGGGAGGGGGATTCCATTTTAAAAATTAGATTTTTCGGAGACCTGAATCCATGATTTTCCATGAATTTTTCTTAAAAATAGTAAAAATCATTACATTTAATTACAAATTTTGTTCAATACTGAAATTCATGACTTACCATGAATTTCCAGGTGCACAGATACCATGTGAATGTTTTGGTAGGCCTAATTCTAGTAAAAAGAAAACTAATTTATCAAGTTGCAGACATCTTTTAAAACTATAAAGATAAAGTTCTATGCATAAAGACAAAAACTACATTTAACAAACTGTAGACCACTATACGATGAACATAACTAACTAAAAAACAACAAAAACCCACTTCCTCCATAAAGTGACAGAGAAGAGAAAACACTGTCGATCTATTTGTTTACACTATGAATTATTTTCCAACATTTGCCGCCTTTCCCTTACTGTACCTATATATATATATATATACAAANTATATATATATGTCATACACATAATTATAACTTAGTATTTTTTAAGAATTAAAAAAAAAACTTAATTTGATCTTGAGTAAATCAGTCCTTAAATAAATTTTTTACAAAATTATCTTATATTTTCTTTAATCATTGGTTTCAAGAAAAAATCTTTTGTACTGTTTCAAAGCTGTAACATTTCAAAGAGTTCAACAATTCAAGAGACAATTCAAAGAATTTGTCATTAACATATTGTCTCACAAAATGGTAACATACCTCAATGTATTAGCTTTGAGAGTTCTGAACTTCTGATTAGGAAAATCAATAGCAGCACTGTTATCATAAAACAATTCACAGTGTGATAAGTCCAATTTGAGTTTTTTTATCAGTTGGCACATATTTTAACCACATTAACTTTTTGGCTGACTTGGATAGAGATATAATCAGTCTCCATGGCAAAAAATCGAAAAACTTCTGATTAAA